ATAAGAAAACAATCAAAATTAAAATTTTTCTTTAAAAATAATTAATTAGTATTTTAAAGAATGGGTGGTGTTATTGGACAACTTTTTTGTCATACCTTTTATAAAACTTTTACATGTTATTAAATGAATAGATGCATTCAATATCATGAGTTCCACATGAATTAAAAAAATTAATCATTTTAATGACAAGTTTGTACAAAAAAATTATACAAATATTATTTCCCTATAAAGAATACTCAAAACACAAGTCATCAACCAAAAAATTTCGCCCCCTCGCTCAATTTTCTGGCTCCACCATTGCCCAGATCCTGGGACCTTAAGAGATACCCACCCCTCCTTCGATCTCCATCCACACTAGCAGCGCAAGATTGAAGACCATCCCGATCCACTGATTCGGGGTCGAATGATTGCTCTTCAAATCTTAGAGTTGATAAAGAATTCAAATCTCACCATCTATTTAAATATTTACGTTTGGTTTATGTGCCATTGGTGCTTCCCAGCCCATGCACTGGCGCCATTCCCTCCTTTTCCCTGTAATTGTTCTTGTTCAAAAAAAAAAAAAAAAAAAAAAAAATCTCGATCAACTGCGCCTTCCTTCTCATGACTCCTCTGCTGTTCGATGGCTTTGGCACCACCAACCTCCACCATCGAACCTAGATCAACAGATGAAAAGAAGTCGATGCAACCCTCACACACCAAGAATTGCGAAGGGATCGATCACTCTCACGCTGCTAGAGAACCCTAGCCGTCATGGGAGGCTTTGCTTTGCTCTCAATTGAGAAATTTTTATTTCATAATCAAATTGAAAATTTTAATTACTAGTTAGATATTTCAACTTATTACAATTTATTACTATTAATTATCAAAATAAGATATTCAAAACACTATAATTAAAGTTCCCAAACCAAAACATATTATAACAAGAAACGTCAAGCATTATTTAAAGCACTTAGGATTGTTATCTTACAGAACAGAAGTAATATTCTGAGTAGTTTTTGTAGTTTTATTTATTTATTTGAACACATGAAATTTTAAGGATTGGGGAAAACGGATTCGAACACTAGTCCTCAAGGGGCCTACACCGGACAACCCAGGTGCACAACAAATTGAGCTGTATTCCCAAGTGCAGTTTTTGTAGTTTTACCAAGACTATGATAAATAAAGAGTGTTATTTAAGTGTCATAATTAGAATAAGGATTCTATTTTTAAGTTGATTCTGATTCTTAAGAATAACTAACAACAAGATTTTAATCAGGTTGTCACACACTAATTAAAACACTTTAATTTGAGATTAGGATTCAAAGCATGAAATGCTACAACAAAATTCTTACAGTATTCAAAATATTATCTTGAGATTATGTAAAGTAATTTTAATTGTATGATGCAATTATTTTTAAGTGTAATGCTTAAGGATTTTTTTATCTCTTTTGCTGTGATGTTTAAAGAAACTCAAGAATGATTATCTTTCCCTTTTTCTTCCTTTTCTTTTACTCTTTTCATCATGTGGGCCGGGGGAACATAACAGAAATGTAAAAGGAAAAAGGCAAGAAGGTGAATGGAAGATGCTTGTTGATATTAAAGGACAAAACCCTTGCTACAGTGTGGACCCAAACTTGGGGAGCAAGAAGTTAAGAAATATTTCAACCTAAAAATAATCCCTATAGATTGTTCCAAATCTTCAAATTGTCCGTATTATTTTATAGCGTTAGATTAATGCATGTCGTCCTTTTAAATGTATTTTTAAAAGATTATTTTAAAATGCACTCACCATATTATCTTAGTGATCACTTTTTTTGTGTGAGAAATATATGATCATTAAGTCGATTTTTTCACCAACACTCGAACATATATTAATTTATTAATTATATTTTTTATAATAAAAAAATTATTTTAAAATTTGTATTTTAATTAATATTTTAAAAAATTAATAATTAAATTTAAAATTTTATCAACGACGTAAATAACTCAATGATAATCTCTTTTTATTTACTATTGTTAAATTTAATATAATTAATAAATAAATTAGGCTTATAAAATTAATTTAAAATTAATATATATCATCAATAAAATCCCTAAAAAAATTTATAAAAACGAGCTATAAAATATTTTTTTCTTCATTTATATATACATTATTCAAGAACTTCAAATTCTCAATATTTTCCCTGTGGACGATTTTAGAGCTTCAAAATTTAGATAATATAACAATCTCAATGTTTTCCCTAAGGCCGGGAATGTTCCAGAACTTCAAAAGAAATACTAATCTACTAATAGTCGTACAAAGCAACACTTGACCCCAGGGACAGGGCAACTGACATCACTACTTCCTAACTACTTCTCCCATTTTCTGTGGAAAAAACATACGCGGAATTAACTTGGCAGGGTGGGGGATCCACAGAATCCTTCCAAAGACTTGTTTAGTAAGTAGACGGTACTCGGTGCTCTGCTATATACTGCACTATATATACAAGCTGCTGCTTCTTTCTCTTCACCGTCGACCTCATAAAATGGGCAGCACTAATACTGGCGGCAGCAGCAGAAGGAACAATCTGCCGGGAGTCGGATTCCACCCCAAGGAGGAGCAACTCATCAGTTTCTTCCTCACAAACAAGGTGCTCGGCCGTGATTACGAAGTCCAACACATTCCTACTCTCGATGACATTTGCAAATACGAGCCCTGGGATCTGCCTGGTAACTAATTTAACTGAGTAGCTACAATTTTATCTTTTTTTTTTTGTTGGGTTTTCTTTGATTGAACAAAAGGAAGTAAGTTAGTGCTTAATTTAATAACATTTGCTCTTCCTATACATATGTGTTGTAGAAATTTCAACCATGGAGGCAGGTGTTGGGGTTCAAGAATGGTACTTTTTTTGTCCACCAAAATATAAATACCAAAACAGCGAATTAATAAACAGGAAGACGAAAGAGGGATACTGGAAAGTAACGTGCAGATCCCGTAATTTCAAGTCTGGAAATGGCACGGTCGGCGAGAAGACTACTTTGGTTTTCTTTCAAGGATCCAGTCGAAAAGGAAAAAGAACCTCTTGGATCATGTACCAGTACAAGCTCACTTCTGATATTCCTAACCAAGTAAGTTCTTTATGCTCACCCCAAGGACTTGAATGAGATTAAATAAAACTTTATAGATGCTTAATTCAGGACAATATATACTAAAAGTTTGTTAGATTACCCTTTTTTTTTTTAATTTTTTGTAGAAGAAGTGGGTTTTTCTCTATAAATTGATGAAAAGAGATAATGGCAAGGCTAACGCCTCCATCAATACAAGTCAGCCAAGTTATGACTTACCTAATGCAAATGCAATTATTGTAAGTAGCCTTTAAGAAATTTCAATAAAATGTTACTGATACAGAAATACTGTGTCATAAATTATGTTATCTCTAGTCTGATAAACATTTTGAACAAAATTAGTCATGTTTGTTTGACAATGAACCAGGATTTGGGAGACTCGGAGACGCCTGAAACAGGGCAGGGTGCCCTGCTTCAGATGAAATCAGATGAAAGTCAACCAAGTCATGACAACGGAAATGGTCTAGGAGTAAGTTGCATTGCGGATATTTCATTGAGATATTACTGATGCATCTAAATATTTACATCGATCTATTAAACATGAATGATCCAGAAATGTGATCTGCATTTTGGTATCTTTAGTCTGATATAACGAGTGGAACAGGATAAGTTATGATTGTTTTGTCTATGAAGCAGGATTTGGGAGACTTGGCTGAGCTTGCAGATGGGCAAATTGCTGATGTAGTTTCTCATTTGCAGCCAGAAATGAAATCATTCTTCGATGAGACGTATTACAGCTTGCTCTCTGTACTGCAGCCACAGATGCAGGGGGAGCAGCAGCAGGCCGCCTCCTTGATTTTCCCTACGTCCAGTGATTCTAGTGGCAACACGTCTCAGAATCATTACTACTCCGGCGACTTCAACCAAGACTCTGAATTGCAGCCACAGTTGCAGGGGGAGCAACAGGCCTCCTCGTCCTTGTGCTTCCCTTTGTCCAATGATTCTGAGAATCATTGCTACTCTGGTAACATCATCAAAGTGGATGATGTGCTTTGGAATTCACTTCTTGGGTAACAATTCAACGAAGTCTCCCACGAAGAAGAAAGCAATTACCACACTTGATTATTACTTCATCAGCATAATCAAGAACTGGTGAAATAATATAGTGAGACCTACGCGCTAGCCAAGTGCGCCACTACCCCTTGTATAAACGAATTATTACTACTATAATCTATCTATATTTTGTTAATGTACTGTAATTGTATTTTCATGGTGTTCATTTTATTTTAATGTCATTAAACATTTTTCCTTTTCCTAAGTTTGTTTGTTAATTAGCATGTGCCTACTCTATCAACAAGAGGATGGTTAAATTAGAATAAAAATCGCTATTTATAAAATGTTGATTTATAATTAAGATTAAAAATTTAAATATCTGTAATATTAAACACAATTATATTTTTAATATGGAAATATAAAAAAAAAAGATATATTTCTATTTTAAAATTGTTGAGGACAAAGGTGAGGATATGAACTCTTCAATGTTTTCTTTTTTGGCTTCTCATCCGGTATCCGGAGCTTCGTTCCGACTACTCCGGACTCGACCAGCTGTGGTGCACCAGAATGTTGGATGAGTCTCCCAACGAAAGCTGCTGCGTACACAAGGTTTCGAACTCGAGACCTGAACTCTTCAATGTTTACTAATTAAACACAACATTCTTTCTCCTAATCAATACACATAAACTTGCAAAATTTCCTAATCAATGATACAAACTCACCAAATTTGTTATAAGGATAAATTTCCTAATCAGTCATTTTCATTTAAAATATTTGATCACCATGCAACTAATTGAAAACTTGGGCGTTCATGAATATTGACCAAGCCGTTTACATTGGTCAAAACTTGAAACTTAACACAAACCTGGCCCTCAAGGCCTCATCCACTGTTTTTAAATAAGTTTTAATTTGTCCATCACTAATTGACTTAATGACCATCTCTAACAAGAGTAGTGTTTAAGACATCAAAATTTTAAATTCAAAGTCAGGTACTCATTTCCTCATCCCACAAGTTTTCCCGGTTCGAAAAAAGGGGGTTTAACTTTGACTTCTTATTTTTTCAATTCCTGGTCTGGAGTCAGTCTCAATTCCAAAGCCCTCCCACCTAGTCCAGGGACTAACCTTTTATGTGGGTCGACCTTAGGCCGTTGCCTACACCTATATCAAGAATCTTAATTTGGTGGTTAATTTTATATAATTTAAACTACTTATTACAATTAGTTTTAACGAACCAAAATCAGAATTCAATCTTTTAGTCAATCATTAAAAATGAAAAATTCAAGCCACTAATTAAAGTCCCCAAACATACACACATAAACTAATTAGAAATAGTAGTATTACTTTTAGTTCCAAAAGGTTAACAAATATTTGTCTGACTTGAAAAAATATCATATAAGAAAATTGTTTTATAAGACAAACTGTATGCAATTTGTTATGTAAAATTACTTAAATACTCTTAATTTTATTTTTATAATTTTTATTGAAGATATTAAAATAATTTTACAAAATAAATTGTATACAATTTGTCATATAAAATTACTTAAATACTCTTAATTTTATTTTTATATTTTTATTAAAAATATTAAAATAATTTTACAGAATAAACTGTGTATAATCCGCTATGTAGAATAGTTTTCTAATATCATTAAAAAATCATGTAGTGGCATTCTTCTTGAGCTAGTTTCAACGGTAAAGTTGCAATCTCTTCACTAATTGGTGCGAATAAAGTCTAGTCTAGGAAAATGACAAGTATTTGGCAACATACAAAGAAAAAGATAAAAGAAAATGCCAAGGGTAATGGAAAGACAAACTTAACAGAACAAAAGGTGATCATGGCTTCCAAGCAGGGTTTACCGAGACGTGGAGAGCAAGGATTTAAAGTTATGAATCTCAATACGGGGTTATCCGAGACTTGGGGAGCAAGGACTTAAAGTTATGAATCTTTATACGATAATGTAGTTATAAAATTTTGCAAAGCTATAAATTTATAAATGTATTGTAACATTAAATGAATATAATAAATATTAAATAAATATATATAATATTATAAATGAATCTTTAAATAAAAAGAATAAATTATATAATGATATATAATATTATAAACTTATAATATTATCATCATAATATCTCATAATTAATATTATAACTATAGTATTTTTTATCTCCATATTATCCATCTAAATTGTTCTAATACTTCAAAAGCATTTTATGTCAATATCAATATTATCCCCATAGAATAATATATACCATATTAGAGAACTTCAAGTACTTGTCTGATAAAAGGAAAACTTTATTAAGAGTGTGTTCGTTAAGAAAGTAATTGAAAAAAATATTGTACAAAAAATTAAAAATTATCATTTAAAAAGCTAATAAATTTTATAATAAAATAGTTGTTAGTACTTTTTCATATTTGGTAAAAATGAATATTAGGAAAATTGAGAAAAAGTTATCAAGCACGTCTCATGTTGAAAAAATTGGGGGAAATGGTTTTCCTTAAAAACTCGTAAGAAGAAAATATTATTTGTTGAGAATTGTCTTATAAAATATAAAGAATAACAATATTAATTTTGTTAAAATATAAAAAATACTAAAACATCGTTAAACTTTCATAAATAAGAGAAAAAACTGTCACTCAATGAAACACACACCAAAAGTTAAGTTTTATATTTATATGAATCTCAAAATCATCCCCTATACAAAGTTCTAGAGCTTCAAAAAGTAATTAAACAACTTGTCAAAAAAGTAATTAAACAAAGCAACAGATAGCCACGGGAGCAAGGTTTTGTTTTACTTTTTGGCCCCACGAAACCCCTGAGGGCAGGGTTGTTGTAGTACTATATTCCATCCATTTTCTTTGTGGAAAATCAAGAATATTTTCCATATATAAAGACATCACTCGGTGCTTTTCTATGAATCTATATAGAGACTGCTTCCTTCTTCCCTCCATGCACTTCTTCGAGAAAATCTGAAAATGAGCAACTCTAGTAATAGCAGTAGGAGCAATAATCGGATTGGATACCGATTCCACCCTACTGATGAAGAAGTCATCACTTTCCTCAAGGACAAGGTTCTCGGCCGTGATTGCTTTGTCCAAGATCCGATTGCTGTGCTTGGCGACATTTGCAACTACGAGCCCTGGGAATTGCCCGGTAATAACTCATCTTTTAATTTTATGCTTTGATTTAATAAAAGGAAAGAAGTTAGTGGTTTTTTTTTTTTTTTTTAAATCTAATGATGAGCTATACAATGGTATAGCTCTTTCCTTCCTTTAATCATTCTTCACCTTAAGATGTGAATTCAAGATTTTTAATTAGGAGTCTTAAACTCACTTGGAGTATAAGTTAGTAGTTAATTTGTTGGTGTTCTACATGTTTTTTAGGACTTTCGAGCATACAGTCAAGTGATCGAGAATGGTACTACTTCAGTACCCCTAATTACAAATATAAAGACAGTAAACGAGTAAACAGGACCACGAGAGCGGGGTACTGGAAAGTAACTGGCAATCATCGTAAGATCAAGTCTAGAAACGGTACCATAATAGGAGAAAAGAAAACCCTCGTTTTCTATGAAGGATCCATCCGCAAGCGTAATGGAAAAAGAACCTGTTGGGTCATTCACGAGTACCAGCTCCCCTCTAACGAAGTAAGTTCTTATGAAATTAAATATAAAACTTTAAAGATGCTTAATTTGGGTTGATATATACTAAAGGTTTGTTTGGTTTCTTTTTTTATTTTTATTTTTTGGTAGAAGGAGTGGGCTGTTCTGTGTAAATTAAAGAAAAAAGGTGCTGAGGCTGCTGATGTCTCCAGCGGTGGAAGTCAGCAAAGATACGAGTCTCCTGATAATGCAGTCGTGGAGGATATTAATGCAGATGCAATCTATGTAGATGTAAGTTAAACATTACTTATCCATATAGAATTTAGCCTTTTTTTTTTTAAAGAAAATAATTTATATATCTTTCAATGTAACGTATTCGTTAATATTTAAGGTTTAATTATTATAATCTACAATTTTAACTATTCATCTTTAATTTAAATTTAAAAATAATAATTTTTTAATAAATATATTACAAAATATGTTAAATTAAAATGTATTTGTATTAGTGTTCTTTTTATAAATGCATCCATTTAGCATGAATTGAATAGAAAACTGTCTTGTATTATCAATCGTATTTATCTCTAGTGTATAAGCTACAACGAGTGAAACTCAATTAAGTTATAATTGTTTGTCTATGACAGGATTTAGGAGACATTGATGAGCTATACAAGTTGTGTTGCAGCTGGATTTCTGAACCTGAAATCCAGTTTCAGATGCAGGAGGAGCAACAGATGCAGGAGGAGCAACAGCAGCCGGTCTCGTCCTCAATCATTTCCCCTTCATTCCATGGTTCCAGCAGTAACTCGGCTCAGAATCATTACTACTCCAGTGGCATGAATAATGAAGAGGAGGATGAGTCCTGGCTTTCATATCTTTTGTGAGTACTTCCATGAAGCCTCCCCTGAATTGAAGGGAACCAATTATTTGTATATAATTGATTCATTCTTCATCAGCGGGATGAATAACTGGTGATGATGAAAACTTATATTACTTGTTGAGTGGTATATGTTATTAGTATTAGTATATAAAAAACACAAGCAGTGTGTGTGTATGTATATATATTGCACGTTGTTTCCTATTTAAAGATTTTTATTTTATAATATAAATTATAAAATATGAAACTAATTTATATGTATGGAATTAAATAGGAAGTGAAAAAATATATATATGTAAAAAAGATGTTAGTGCATGAGGTGAGAGAGGCCTCGATTAGGATAACTCAGAAAGCTGTGAGACCAACGCGCTAGGCAACTGTGCCACCACCTCTTTAGTTGGTTTCACTTACGGCAACCACTTATATTTATCTGTCCTTTTTCTTTTTTTTTTTGGTTTATGGTAAATATTGTAAGGTATTTGTGCAATTATGTTTTCATGGTGTTCATTTTATTTTAGTCTCGTTAAAGTATTTCTTTTTCCTGAGCAGCATAATACATTCATATTCAAACCCCAACGGATTAATATCATTTTATAAGTTAAGTACATGATTAAAATTTTGAAGTCAATATTTAAAAAAATTAATTATCATAAATGTATCAAATCATATATGTATTTTTAAGATTCTTTAGGTAGAGATTAGTTTTAATACGTACAAAAACTAACTCAAAATATCTTGATCATAAGTATCAAAATAATAATAATACAACATTCATATTACTGGTTCTTCCTAGCTACGTATACAAAATAGCTATTAGCATGTTAAAAAAAAAAAAAAAAAAAAGGAAAAGAAAAGAAAAGAAACGTTGAGATTTTGAGCCAATAATTTGGAGATTGGCAAACCCAGAGGCCAAAACCCATTTTATAAAGGGCTGGCAGGGCCCAACAACTTCTATGCTAAAGTAGGTATAATGCAGCCGTATAATTATGATTTAATTTAAATATCAATTTGATTAAACTTCTCCACCATCCTTTTTCACTTTGATTTTCTTTTTAAATTATTATGAATGTGTATGAAAATGAGACAAAGTTCAACTGAAGATGCTGTGGGAGTTCAATTACTAACTAAAAAAATATTAACTCCTCATTGATTACTAGTTGGTCTATCATATTTATTTTTTTAAGATCACTTATTAATGAAATTGCTAAGATGCAGCCTAATTTATCTTTTGCTATATATTTTGATTAATAATTGACTGTAGTGGAATGAGGAATCTGGCCGTTAAAGGTCAATAATAGTTATTTAGAAAATAAAAAAAAGGGAAAAATTCTTCATAATTAACCTCTTATTATTATTATTATTATTATTGTTATTGTTGGTGGGTAGGTTGAATTTGAGATATCATGAGTCCAAAGGAGGAGGCGGGTTGCACACCAGTATAGCATGTAGTTATTATAATTAATGCAGCATAAAATAAGCAACAACCTTGGGATGTCTTGTCCCTATATATCCAGTTTGCAAATTAGAAGTAGATAGATATTTAGTAACACCACTAATGATTTGAACTGACCATTTCTATTGCTTGACCACCAATTCATACTACATAGATTCTCTACTTTTAAATAAACCATTTTCAAACTTCATCATCTCTTTTACTAAATGTCTTCATTATTATTCATATCTCATTGATTAAAAATTTAAATTTTCATATTAGAAGTTTTAAATTGGGGTGAAGAAGGTTTTAAGATGAATGCATGATCTTAATTATATAACCAATGATCTAATACATAAAAAAAATTTAATAATAATTTAGGATCTCGATGATTAAGCTTTTGAATTTTTTAAGATGTTAACTAAAACCAATTTTAATTGACACATGTTTGGCTTCATGTCAACTTTTATGATAGAAAATTTGTTTAAAAATTAAGTAGACTATTAGTTAAGCCTTTTAATTTCCTTTAAAAGAAAAAAGGAAATATAATTGATAAAATTTAATATTTCACCAAAATTTAAAGGGTTCATGATTTATCTATCCATTTTGGAGTGATGTGGGCCGGTAACCATTTTGGGCCCACAAATGATTGGACCTTTGTTGGACCACACACTAATACAAATGGGACTAGAAAAAAATATTAAAAATCCTGTTCCGTCCCGATCGTAAACAGCCGGGTGGAAGCTGGACTATGGTCCACGTGGTGGCTCCCACACCCCTCAAACTGCAATCATTTCCAGCCACGTGTCAAAAGCGACTCTATTCTTGCACGGTCAAAGACGACACAACTCCGTCGCCTTTAGTCCCCGCCATCCCTTCTCCCGTTAAAAAGCCGTTAAGCGCGCCATGTTTTTCAATTTCCACGGCACAATATAGTACCAACGGCAAATAGAATTATTAAAAAAAAAAAAAAAAAACCCAGAACAATCAATATTATTTAAAAAGTTGGTAGTGTTATCGTCCGTTTAATATTAAACTGCATTATAGCTATTGATAATAGAGAAAAAATTACTCCAATATCAACAGATTCGTTTTATAATTATGTGGTGTAAATAGATTATATATTATTTTTTTAATTAAATAGTTTAAAAAATAATAAAAAATTTTCAAAAATGGCGGTTGAGAAGAAAAAATGGAAAAAAAAGGGTGGGAGAGGGGTCACCTTCCTTATTGCTTCGACATTCAACCTCTTTACAACCCCACAACTCCCCATTACATTATCTGTATAAAACCCAATTATTTATTCTTTTTTCCATTTTGCCCACATCTGCTAATCCCCGTTCTTCTCACCTACAATTCAGAAGTCACATGTATATATAAAGAAGCAAAACAGAGAGATAAATGCAGGAGACACCACTCCCCATCTCTGTCTGTGCGTAACACCCAGATAAGGTTTTTTTTTTTAAAAGCTTGGATATTTCCTTTCCTTAAAGGCACCCATTAAGGTATGGATCATTTATTGTGTATTGAATTCGAACATTCAGTGTTTTGATTGATTGTTCTATCGGTTTTGATGATTGTGGTTATGTGGTTTAATTGTGCTTACGTTTTGAGGTTTTTATGGATTTAAGTTTCTTCAGTCCAATGCCTGGATTAGCTATGGATGCAATAAATGAGGAAAATGGGGTTGAAGAAGGGAATGGAAACTGCTTGCCTTATAAGGGCAGCTTCAGCTTTGTCCAAGAAAGGTCTCCGAGGAGTCCATTGAGTCCACAGAGTCTGAAGAGCGACTCCATTGATTTAGCCATTGATGAAGGTGTAGAAACCTCCATTGAGCAGCTTTATAACAATGTCTATGAGATGCAGAGCTCTGACCATTCACCCTCCGCTAGCTACATCTCGTACGGGGAGGAATCAAGGATTGATTCAGAATTGCGCCATCTTGTTGGAGATTATGGAGAGTTGGAGATGAGCAAGGAGGTGGCGGTGGAGAATAAAGAACAGGGTGGTGGTGTTTCTGCTGGTGACTTGACTCCTAAGAAAGAAGATGTGCCTGGAAATAACAAGTCTTTGAAGAAGAATAAGAGTCAGTTATCTGCTAAGAATCGTTCTCCATCACAGATGGAATCAAGTCCACAGAGCAAATCTTCCCTTGGAAAAACTCCAACTGCAAGAAAACCAAATGCAGCTGTTCGTATGAAGAAGCAGAGGAGCAATGGCGTTCTTGGTGCTAGGCTTCAGAGTGGAACTCCGAATAATCTTGAGACAGAATTGGATAATTCTGACCTGGGTCCAATTCTGCTCAAACAGGCCAGGGATATGATTTCTTCAGGACAAAATCCCCAGAAAACTCTCAAATTAGTTCTTAGAGCAATGAAATCATTCGAGAAATCTGCTAATGAGAAACCCAGTTTAGAGCTGGTGATGTGCATGCATGTCTTGGCAGCATTGTATTGTAACATGGGGCAATACAATGAGGCAATTACTGTTCTTGAGCGCTCAATTGAAATTCCAGTCATTGAAGATGGCCACACTCATGCACTTGCTAAATTTGCAGGGTGCATGCAGTTGGGTGACACTTATGCAATGCTGGGACAGATTGAGAACTCTATTTTATGTTACACAGCAGGTCTGGAGATCCAGAGGCAGGTTCTGGGAGAAACAGATCCTCGAGTAGGTGAGACGTGTAGGTATGTAGCCGAGGCACATGTTCAGGCATTGCAGTTTGATGAGGCAGAGAAGCTCTGTCAGATGGCTCTTGACATCCACAGAGATAATGGCTCCCCTGCTTCTGTTGAAGAAGCGGCAGACAGGAGACTCATGGGACTCATCTGCGACTCAAAGGGTGATTATGAAGCTGCACTCGAGCATTATGTTCTAGCTAGCATGGCCATGGCAGCCTTTGGCCATCAAGTAGATGTTGCTTCAATTGATTGCAGCATTGGAGATGCATACCTGGCATTGGCAAGGTTTGATGAGGCAGTTTTTGCTTATCAGAAAGCACTCACAGTCTTCAAATCGGCAAAAGGAGAGAATCATCCAGCAGTTGCCTCAGTTTTTGTTCGTTTGGCTGATTTAGACAACAAGATAGGAAAATTAAGGGATTCTAGATCCTACTGTGAAAATGCACTCCGGATTTACGGCAAGCCTAAACTCGGAATCCCTGCAGAAGAGATTGCTGCTGGTCTTATTGACATTGCTGCCATCTATCAATCTATGAATGAACTAGATCAGGCACTCAAACTGCTCAAGAAGGCTTTAAGCATATACAATGATGTGCCAGGTCAACAGAGCACCATTGCAGGCATTGAGGCACAGATAGGGGTCATGTATTACATGATGGGGAATTATTCTGAATCCTATAACGCCTTCAAGATGGCTGTTTCAAAGTTCAGAGCCAGTGGGGAGAAGAAGTCCGCCTTGTTTGGGATCACACTGAACCAGATGGGTCTTGCCTGTGTACAGAGGTATGCTATAAATGAAGCAGTTGATTTGTTTGAGGAAGCAAGAAGCATTCTGGAGAAGGAATATGGTCCATATCACGCTGAAACCTTGGGAGTCTATAGCAATCTAGCTGGAACTTATGATGCAATGGGGAGGTATAACATTTTCTTCCACTAAAAGCTTCCATATCTCAAGTTCTTTAGCTATTTAAAATTCTCATTTTCTAAAATTTAAAATGTCTCAGGTTGAATGATGCCATTGAAATTTTGGAGTTTGTTGTTGAGATGAGAGAAGAAAAACTTGGAACAGCAAATCCTGATGTTTTTGATGAAAAACAGAGGTTGGCTGAGTTGTTGAAGGAAGCAGGCAGGGAGAGGAGCAGGAAATCCAGATCACTGGTGACCCTACTTGACAGCAACACACAGATTATAAAAGATGAAGGTATTACGGTATTATAATAATGTGAATATGTTATAGAAGAGGGATCGGCTGTTTGGATTTCGGATTCATGTTTGGTGAATTTGAGGTGAAATGAAAACTACACTTCTACTTCATTGTCTATGGAACTTTGTATGTCTAAAATTTTAATAAAGAATTGGTGGGGTTTCGTTTTCTATGCTATTAAAGCAGGTTTGAGAGAGCTATAGAATTAGAACCCTGTTGGTTTGAAGAGTAAAGAAGCATCCAGGATATTTGATACCTTCTAAGCCTTCAAAGTAATTGAGTTCTGGCGTCCAAGGTGATGGAATTTGAATCTCTACAACAAGTCTGAAAATGAAAGAATTGATAGATCTTCTAAACTTGAAAGGGCTTCATTAGCATCCATTTCCTTCCCTTCTTTAAAAGCAATTAAAGTAGATAGCTGCAGAATACTTAAGAAACAATGACCTAAGAACAACACAGAAGCAAGCACGGGATACGGTAAAACATCACAAAAAGGGTTGAACTACCATTAGAACGCCCTTTATCTTTTTTACTAAAATTAAGTGGAGATACAAGAAAAAGAGGGCAGCCTCATATTTCCGCAAAGGCTGCCCCAAGTCTGATGTATGACAGATTTCATTGCCTGCCATACGTTTTTCAATGAAGTGATCAAATAAATTATTATCTATGCCTATAAATATAGGTTTTAGCAGCTTAACCAAAGACCAGACTCCGCACTAACAAATGGGTTGCTGGTGTAATTGACGGGAACTCCATGTCCTGTTCGTTAGGGAGCAAGGAAAGATGACTGTTGGTAACCTCTTACTCTCTTCCAGATGAGGAAAATCAATGGTATAGTGCAGCCCACGACTTTCTTGTCTAGAAAGAGCGCTGCTCAAAACCAGTTTTGCACAACAAAAGAGGTTCCTCATCTCACAGGCCTCAAGAGCCACCATTGTCTGTTCCCAACCATGCTCAAATAAGTATGTCTCCCATTTGGCCTCCAACTCGCTAATTTTTTGTTCTGCAGCTTCTAGCCTTGTTGTTGACCGAACAATTCCCACATACTTCCACATGATTGATTGTAGTTCTTTTCTCACTTCTTTAGTTGTACTAAATATTTTGTGCATTACATCACTCCTAAGTGATAGGGGAACAACAGGTCGGGTCCACAAGTCAGAAGCAGTAAGATGAAGTATAGAATTTTTCATGTGATCAATTGAGGGCTGGACGGCTCTTCGTGCAAAAACTAAGGCCTCAAGCAATGAGTTACTAGCAAGTCTGTTTGCACCATGCAAACCTGTGCATGCAACCTCACCTGCCACATACAGGCCACGGACATTTGTCTCCCCCTGGAGTCCAGCACGTACTCCCCCACACATGTAATGTGCAGCAGGAACAACAGGAATTGGTTGCTGGGTTATGTCTATGCCATACTGGAGACACTCAGAAGCTATGTTAGGGAAGTGGGAGAGAATCTTTTCTCTTGGCTTGTGACTTATATCAAGTAGCACATACTTCTCATTACGCTTCTTTAGCTGATCATCAATACTTCTAGCCACCACATCTCTTGGAGCAAGTTCAGCTCTCTCATCATACAAAGGCATAAATCTTTCCATTCCTAAATTGTAGAGGATGCCTCCATCACCCCTTACAGCTTCAGTTATGAGAAATGCATTTTCTCGAGTCTTCCTTGGTTTAAGAGGAAGGCCTTCGTCAGCCAAGGCAGTTGGATGGAATTGAACAAATCTGAGAGAAAAATAATGCAATAAAAACATTAAAAAGACTGGAACATCAAACTTTAGGTAGAGGAAAGAACACGTATTATGGGGCCATGATTGACCAGTAACAAGCATAGATTATTATATAAAGATCTCCTGCACCTTAAGCCGAATAGGAATGACCAAGACAAAACATAGGGATCTTAGAAACATTATTCAGTATGGATTTATAGATATCACTTACTCCATGTTACAGATCACAGCTTGAGCTCGATGGGCCATAGCCATTCCATCTCCAGTGGCCACCTATGAACAGACCAAAAATACAAGTCAGATACCATGGAATAATCAACTAGTATGATTGTCTTTAGAATATAACAGGCAACATAAATCAGTAACTAAGAAGACACGAGAAAATGCATCTTCTGAATAGTGAATGACTGAATAAAGTAATTATAGAGATAACAAGATAACTTCTTATCTAAGATTGATTTGATGAATGCATTTTTATTTTTGACTTAGCCACATGAGGCATAGAAAGGTATGACAGGGTGGACTGAAAATGGAGATTTTAAACCAAATTAAATTACATCATTAAACTTCTAGGGAAAAAATCTAGAAAATGTTAAAAGAAAAAGATGAGTTGCAGTAGAAATTAATTATGAAGAGTACCAGAGGATTTGTGGTTGACGGATAGATATGCCCTGCACCACCAGATGCTAGTAAAGTTACCTTTGAAATGAATCGCACCACCTGCAAATGTTGGGAGGCAAAAATAGAAATTGAGAACTTTGTTTAAGGTAAAGTTATGATGTAGCTCTGGCAAAGAGATGACAGGTGAAACTTAAGAAAAGAATAATCAGGCAGAACCACTTGTCACCTCTTGTGTTTTAATATTTAAAGTGTCAACACCACGACAAACAGTGTCAGAACCATCCTGCAATCCTAAGAAGACATTAGTTCAGCATTGGCTTAATACTGGTTTGAACTAAACAATCTCAGATCAAGCGCAAATACAAATAATTCAAGACTTCAACATGTTCATTTGGTTCTCAATTGTTGGATACTGTAACCTGCTAATGTAGAACAATTGAATTACCTATCACAAATCAGTTCATCTAAAGCCTGACAATGCTAGACTATGTCAAGATATAAACTTAAAGTCCTTATACAAAGTATAAATTTTGAACCTGGAAGGTAAGCAAATCAATAGCGAAGTGGTGCTTGAACACAACAATATTAGGATCATTGACAACTGCCTCCAAAAGAGCCCGCTCAATCTCTTTTCCAGTCATATCAGCAGCATGAACAATTCTGTGATGAGAATGCCCCCCTTCCCTTGCTAGGTGCAAGTTCCCATCCTCACCATGATCAAAGGATGCACCCATGGCTATCAATTCTCTGATTCTGTCAGGTCCTTCTGTACAGACAACCTGGACAGATAACAGGTTTCAATGGAAATCTCCATAATAACTAGATGAATCTCACTTGTTTTAATTTCAGAAGAACTCAGTTCCTAGAGATGAAGGAATTGATTAAAACAATTTGATGATGAAAGGATAAGGATCCATAAAAAAACTTTACTGACTAAAGCAACGCCGTAGTACTCACTCTAACAGTTTCCTCATCACATAGATAGGCCCCTGCTACAATAGTATCCTGCATATGACTCTCCACAGAATCTGAAGGGCACAGTACAGCACTGACTCCACCTTGAGCATAGTTTGTATTGCTCTCATGAGGCTCAGCCTTAGTAATTACTGCAACGGTTCCATGTTTTGCAACTTCAAGAGCATAACGTAGACCAGCAACTCCACTGCCAATGACAGCAAAATCAAAATACTTTGTGGAACCATTTTTCAAACTAGATGATACAGTGACTGTCCTATGGGCCTTCCAATTTTCACTTATATGAGACTGAAAGAAATTACGCCTCCTCATCTTAGAAGGCCTAGATACCCTGCATGGCCTGCAAGATATCCAAAAAAAACAAAACAAAAATAATTCAGAAGCTTAAGCTAAAATTTGGAGATTCCATTGCCCTGAAATGATATATATTCAAATCAAAAAGACTGTCCCAATGCCATTGATAGTGCTCATTCAGCACATGTATAAAATTATACAAATTCCTGTTCTTGTAACATACAGATTAGAAAAGTAACTAAGCCTTATTTCCCATGGTTTTTCTGATCAAGTTAACAATTACAAAGAAAACAGATTAGAATCAGAAATTCTAAGCTGAAAAGTATGTTTCTTGACGACCCTTTTCAGCCACAAAATCATATTCTTTCTTACATTCAATATCAAACCCAACTCTATGCAGAAATTAGATACTAAGATCAATATCATCAACAAATTACCAGGAGACCTCTGTCCGTCTGGATCCATTTAATGTCACACCGGCGATCCAAGCAGTTTGTCTGCTACCTTGCCTCTTGCAGAAGTTAACCCGGTACTGCAGTTGCCCACTTCCAACAGCTATACCGGCTGCCATGATAATCCTTTCTGCGGATCCGAAAGAACAAAACAATATTTAAATTAGACAAAAATAGAAATTCCCAGAAAAATTATTCAGGAGATCAGCAAAACTAACGAAACAAAAGACACCCCCCCCCCAAAAAAAAAAAAAAAAAAGACCCAGATTGAAGAATTCGTTTGAAGATTGAAACAAACATTTCGATCTCGATACCTAAAAAAAGAAAGAAAATCTGAACTGGGTCTGGTTGCTTTTAGTCTTCAGGAATGGGACGATAACTCAACCTATGAAGATACCAAAACGAATAAGAGGGATTGGAAGACGGAATATCCTACATCTTCAAGGCGCCGCGCTAAAATTTTCTTGCCCCGGAACCATCCTAGAAATTCGCATGTTCTTCGTCTTGCACAGGACGCAGCCTTAGAATTCGCGCCAACTTCATACGCGCCGCCCACACCATTTTGCCCTTTTCCAACTCATTTTTACCATGACTTTGGGGGCGCTTTAACGGTTCTCTGACGCTTAAACCTGCCAATCATGTTCCGTCTGTACTGGTTGTGGTTTAATTTTTTTATTTTAGTTTTTAAAATATAAATAATTAACATTAATAATTAATAATTAATAATAAAAATAAAAATTTATTAAGCATAAAATTTTGAATTTTAATTTATTTATTTATGTAAATTTTTAATTTTATTTTAGGGAAATTTTTAAATTTTTGAAAATTAAAAT